AGAATACTGGATGAACTAGAGTTCATACTAGAACTAGTATTGTTGCCTTGGAGTGTTAGAGTAGAGTTGAAATGAGGAATGGTGATATTAAAGTGAAACCATTCACTAGTTGGTATGTTTTCACTGGCTAAGTGCAGCTATTAAGATGCAGGCCTAGCATAGTTTAATTTAATTAGGGTTGTGGTTTAATGAATTGAGAAAGGGATTCAATGAATTGAGAAAGGGGCACAGGAATTGGAAATAATTGGAAATGATCTGAAGCTGGTTTAGGAGGGAAATGAGACTATGAGGTGAAGTACTGTGAAAAGCATGAAGATCAATTAATTGAGGCTCTTGATTGGGATAAAAGAACTGTTTCTTGGAGTTGGGATATTAGAAGGGCAGTGCTGGAAAGATAGAAAATGGGTGACTTGAAATAGAGATTATTGAAGGTTGTAAATATGACAATGATGAAGTCTAGGTTTTGACCATAGGCATGAGTGTCTGAGGTAAGGTGAAGAATAAGATATTTGAAGGAGAGGAGGTCAAGGAGTTGGGAGGGGAGGGATTAAAGATACCATCATGTTAATAGTCTGTAACTTGAGTCCATAAATGAAATTCAAGGAGTTTGTGAACTGGAATGGGGAAATTTTACATCTTTTTTTTTTTTTTTACTAATTTTTAACTGAAATTTAACATTTCCTTCAATTATAAAATATAGGTACAAATCAATATAGTAATGGCAGTACCTGTGACTTTATCCCCAATAAAAATCACACTCATGTCATGTTGCAGGTTTTGCATATTTTTAAATCATTATTTATATTCATCTGCATTATGAGATAATTTTTATTAGATCCATTAAAGAACTTCTTAAAGTGTTAGTAACCATATGTATTATATTTTAAAAATATTTTGATAGCTGTATTTCACTAAAGTTGCTTTTATTTGTAATTCTGTATTTTTTTCTGCTTTTAATATTTTATTCATAGAAGGAGTCCTTATGTTTCACTCCTGGACTTTTTTTTCTTTTTGATACCAAGAATTGAACGCAGGCGTGCTTAACCACTGAGCCACATCCCTAACTCTTTTTATATTTTATTTAGAGACAGGGTCTCACTCAGTTGCTCAGGGCCTCACTAAGTTGCTAAGGCTGGCTTTTAATTTGAGATTTCTCCTGCCTCAGCCTTCCAAGTCACTGGGATTACAGGTGTGCACCACCCTGCCTGGTTTACTCCTTGACTTCTGGAGGGATTGAGGGCACATGTGCACACACATCACAAATTTTAAGGATTTTTGATATAAGAAGATATTGAAATCAGCAATTATTCCAGGAATGATATCGCAGGCCTTGACTCCAGAAGTTAAAATCTTTACGGAATGAGGGGAGTGGGGTCAGTAGATAAAGCAACTAGGAGAAGGGGAGAAGATATGGCATGAGGTTTGAAGCTGGTGTTTTGTTTTGAGGAAGGAGAGTGAATTGTTCAGAAATGGCAACAAATCTCAAGAACCTTGCTTACAGGTCCAGTAAGAGACATGTAGAAGAGAAAGCAGCTACTATAACAGGACTACAAGGAAGGAATGTCATTTAGGGAGATTCATATTTTTGTTAGAGCAAGATGATAAACATTCACAGATGAGGCTGAGGGTATAGGAAATTGTGTTGATGATTGAACTTGAGAGGGCACAGAAGTGTTTTAGATGATGGGGAGTAGAAGGAGTTGGGATCTGAAAACATGATATATATAACCATATGACTCGTAGAATTCAGTGGATGCAGCTTGGGCTTCTTGTAGGAACTAATAGGCAGGGAGTGGGGACACTTGTGAAATTAGTTCTGATGATTCTGGGGCAAATAGCTGAATGCGATGCTGAAGGAAGCAACAGCAGGGCTTTTGCAGGCATGCAGAAATTCCTGGGACTTTACCTTAACTCAGGTCCTCCAGCCCCTTTCTAATCCTGTAATCTTTCTCCTCTTCTCTTTCTGCAGCCTGTGTAACTCCTTGCTGTTTCTTGAATACACAAGGATGTTCCTACCTAATTCCCTTTTCATTTGCTTTCCCAGTCTCTCTGCCCCTCCCAAGACATTTATTTGGGTGGCTTTATGCAGGTTTCTGTTCAAATATCACCTTTTTAGAGAGAATTTCCCCCATCTATTCTAAAATATTTGTATAATGCCCTCACTTCTGATTATCATCTGTCTTTTAAAACAGCCTTTCCCTCCTTTTTCATTTATCACTACCTGGTATATAATTTATTTATCAAATTAATTAATTTTTTCTAACTCCTCCCACTAGGCAGGAGGCATTCTGATACGAGTTGACACTTTGGTTCACTGTTGTAGATATCCAAAGCCCATTTGATGAATGGATAAATAAAATCTTAAACAGTCTTTAGAGGAAAAGCTAATAAAACTATAGTGGTTAGGAGAGTAGTTTCCAAAGTCAATCAATTGAATTTGTTATTTAACTTTGCTCCATCTAGTTTCTCATCTGTAAAGTTGTGCTGATGTAAGCACTTACGTCAAAGAAAAGATGGGTAAATGATTTACAGAATACCTAACACGAACTTTCTGGATTTCCCTTTCAGAAGTTTTTCCATTCTTTAAATTACAGATTTTGTTTACTTACTGCCTTCTGATTCCATTTACTTGCTGTAACATGACTTTCTTATCTGGGCCCTTTCAACTCTCTGCTGCCCAGAGACCACTGTGATTTTAGGAGTAGAGGAGATGGGATCTGAAAACCTGACAAACATAACCATATGACTCATAGAATTCAGTGGATGCAGCTTGGGCTTCTTGTGGGGATTAATAGGCAAGAGTGGGTCATTTGTGAAATTAGTTCTGATTATTCTACCCTTTCTGCAGAGTACCTTAGACTCTTCTTTCTATACTTCCTTCTAATCAAAACTCATATTGAAACTTGCCTCCTTTCTGGAGGTACTGTGCTCAGTTTTCTAGTACATTGTTAACCTGCCAGGTAAAATAATTCATGCTTAGGCATTAGAGTTTACTAATGGCATATTATGTGATTTCTGTCAGTATTTGCATTTAATATAGAGGGACTGTTACCCATAAATAAATCAAACAATGGTGAAAATAATATGAATTAACTAAGGGTTGCTTTATTTTTTGCATTCCTCTACTCATTCTTGTGGGTTGTAGGTGACTCCAACTTTATCTGTAAGTTAGAACATTTCCAATTATGTCTTCTCTTTTTTTCAAGCATGTTGTACTTAACATGCATTTCTCTAAATAGGATCTTAGAGAATTAGAATTCAAAGGGATCTTAGAGATTATCTGGACCAGAGGTTTTCAACTATTTTTTCTTTCTTAAAGCAGCAAAATGCTTTTCTCATATGAAATGTTATGTGGAAACTTAATATACAGATTAATAAAAGCACAGCTGATTCTAAACCCCAGAATCCAAGCCCTGTAGGTCTTCCTTTGTTGTCTGGGACAATCCCCTGAGGGCACTTTCATGGAACCCTTAGGGCTCCCCAGAGTGCTGTTTTAAAACCACTAATTTAGACCAATCCTTTCATTTTTCCAGCTGAGGAAATAAGCCCATAGAGTTTGTGTTTTATCCAGTGTTACAGGGTAAATTAGTTGGATTAAGAGCGATCCTCACATGTGCCATTCTTAGGAAAACACTGTTAGACAAGCGTGGAAGTTATTATTCTTTGGAAGTTCTTATTTTTGATGCAGGTCAATTTTACCATCTTATTTCTTTTTGTTAATAAAATTCTATTTGAAACCTATTACATATGAGATATTTTCTATGGCTCTGATGCAAAGAAACGGGACATAACATGTTGCCTGTATAAAGCAAGTTGTCTAGTTGGAAAGATAAAACATGCAGTTATAAGTTATATAAAATTTAAATAAAACTTTAGGGTTTGAGATATAGTAAAACAATGTGGCATAAATTGAGAAAAAAATGATATCTAAACTCTAGTGGAGCTCAGAGGAGAGTGAAGGTACTTCATTTGGGCTAGAGAAATTTTTAAATGGGAGGTATGATAACTGAGTAGTACTTGGCTTAGAAAATAGGTATAAGGCAGTCGAACATTATGAATAATAGCAGATCTTTGTTTACCAGCTCCTTTTCCTTCTTCTGTCTAGAATTGGGCAAGTTCTTGACCTCTGAGCCTGTTACTTCATCTGCAAAATGAGAATGCAAGGAATGTATGTTAACTAAGGACATATAAATTGATTTAACTTCCACCTTAAAATGTCAGTGGTTATCACAATAAAAGTTTATTTCTTCCTTATATCAGTGTTTATATTAAACAGATTTCTAAGAGGTCACTCAGGGACCAGGTTCCTTCTTTTTTTTTTTAGCTTCAACTTCTCCTAGATCTTAGGAGCACTCTCCATTCAGTTGGCAGTAAAGAGAGAGTGAATTCCACTGATAAGGCATTTGAAGGCTGATATACAGCCCTCTGTAAATTTTTTTAATTGGCTAAAACTTAATCACATAGCTGTATTTAAACACAGAAGATATAGCTAAATTATATACACAATTTCAAAAGTAAATAAATTTTAAACCTTTACATGGAGGTCTGTCACCTTGAGCAGAGTTGTTGGGAAAGTTGTAGTAGACAATGTATATGATATGCTTAGTAGAGTGCATAGCATATAAAGGTATTTAAATATCCTTTTTAAAGATTTAGGGACATTTTATACGTTACGGAGTTCAATAATACATGATACTTTTTATTAATATGTTTTAAACCAGGTACAGTGGCATATGCCTTAATCCCAGCTACTTGGGAGGCTGAGGAGGGAGAATCCCAAGTTTGAGGCTGGCCTTGGCAATTTAGCAAGACCCTGTCTCAAAAAATGAAAAGGGTGAGGGATATAGCTCAGAGGTAGAATACCTCTGGGCTCAAACCCCAGTACCATTGAAAAAAAAATTTAGGAGAAGTATCAATTCATTTTTGACTCTGGGTAATAATGATAACAAATGTTTAAAATGATTGTTCTTCTTGGTAATCTTTGTTTCTTTTTCTTTTAGCATGGTATTATTGCTACAGAAGATGAAGAATATTTTATTGAGCCTTTAAAGAACACCACAGAAGATTCCAAGCATTTTAGTTATGAAAATGGCCATCCTCATGTTATTTACAAAAAATCTACCCTTCAACAACGACATCTCTATGATCACTCTCATTGTGGGGTTTTGGGTGAGTGTGTAGGTTTTGGAAATAATATTGTATTGTATTGTCCCTTTCTCTTTCTTCTGGAAAATATAATAAGGAAATAATTACTTAATAATAAAAGTAAATAGGAATTTGAGTAATTAGACATATGTACAAGGCCCTCTTAAAAGTTGTCATATACCAGTAATTTAATTAATTAATTAATTAATTAAAAATATTTTTAGCTGTAGATAGACACAATACCTTTACTTTTGTTTTTATTTAGTTTTTTTTATTTGGCGCTGGGGATCGAACCCAGTGCCTCATACATGCTAGGCAAGCACTCTACCACTGAGCCCCAACCCCAGTCCCAAGTAATTTTAAATCAATCTGGAAGCTCTTTAAGAAGTCCTTAAATGTAAGTCTGTATAAAATTTGACACTTTTTTTTTGTTTGAAGGAAAAAAAACATCATCTTATTTTATTCAGGTAATGGTTACAACTTGCACGAAGAAGTGTTCCATTGTACTCTGTATTATTTAGTTAGTTTGCTAGTTTCCTGCTAGTAGCAGGAATCTAGACACTTGAATAAGACTTGAAGAGTCATAAGGTAGTTTTCAAAGATAGCGATGGCACTGAATTAGGGAACTATGTGATACATGACAGAGACAACAAACCTAGACTTTATTGATCAAGGAAATCTTCATGGAAGACGTGACTTCTCAGCTAAGATATGAGGTTTACCATATCCTTAGAAGGTAGTTGGGCAAATGTAGAATGATCGGTGACTAGACTGTTCCACATAGAGGAAACTGCATTTTCCAAGGTCCTAAGCAAAAGAGAGAATGTCACATTCCAGAAACTGACAGTACATGTACTTGGATATTAGAATGTGGACTGGAGAGATGGAGATGAGGTTCATGGTGGTTGAGGGGTGTTGTTGTAAGAGATGAGACATGAGAGATAAGGTCAACATGAAGGGCTTATAAACCATATGAAGTAATTTGTTTACCCTGATATGCTGGAAACACACTAATAGGTTTTAAGTAGGAGGAATGACATAATCAGATTTATTTAAAAAAAAAAGAGTTTAAGTAGCTGTGTGGAGACTGAATTAGAGGAGAGCAAGACTAGAGGCAGGAAGTTAGGAGGATGTTAACATAGTGATAGGAAAACTTAAGAGACAAAGGCCACTTAAACTGAATCCACTTAAAACATGAAACAAAATTCCTTATAATAAGTAAAAAGTTTGATTTAGTCTTTATATTGACTTTTATTAGTCATTATGGAAATAAGTTTATTCATTATGGAAATTAGTTTATTTTGTCTTCTATTTAGTAAAACTTAGGCCATAAGTACAACTATATATAAATAAATTCCTTAAAAACTAGGATTCAAATATTTAGTTGTTTGTTTGAAGATAACTTCTCACACACACAAAATTTCAATATTTTATCTTATTCTGAAAGGCATCTCTTAATTTTGATATTCAAATTATTCTCTTTCATGGTGCCAATACATTATTTGAACTCTGGCAGACTTTATTTTTCAGTGGTTTAGGCATGAGTCAGACACTTACAAATTTTTGTTGTTATAAAATTCTTCCATTTTGGGGGAAGATTTTCTTCTTTTCTTCCCATCTCTCCTCTGCACTATTGAGATGATTTCCTAAACAACCCTCCCCTCAATCCATTTCATGTATGAGCCCTAACACCAGTTTAATTAGTTCAGACCCTCATTATCTCTTGCCTGGACTACTGTTCTAACTTTCTAATGGGGCTTCCTGTCTCCAGGTTCATAATCCTGTTTTTAGTCAACTCTGTCTCCTAGATCTGACCTGTCACACTTTTAGACACTTCACTGGCCTTCCCATTAGTGGTAATATGGTTGTAGTTCCCTGAGTTCCAGGAATTGTAACTAGATGCCATTGGAGAAAAAACTATTTTATGTTTAGTTACTTGTCTGGTCAAGAACTTGATTGTGATACCATCTCAACAGCATAGGTCAAGCAAGAGATAGGAATTTGTAGACATATATTGCCAATTAGCTTGTTATGAGTAATCAAGTTTATACCAAAATATAGGATATAAAAGCACTGTTGACACTAGATTCAATGATCTCATATCCAGATACGAATTTTTCCATTATAATTAGATTCAATAGATGTGTTTTAAATGATTTTTGTGGAAGTAATATCTGTTCTCTTTGGAATATTTAGAGAATAGAGGAAAAAAGAAAAAAAACATTAAAATGAAAATTATTGTTATTCTTGCATCCAGAGATAACTGAATTTTCTTTTAGTCTATCGACATAGATAACATTATGTCTCTATACCTGCATTATTTACTTATGTATCTACTAAATAAACATTCATTTAACACTATGTGCAAAGCTATTCTAGGTGCTGAGGATGCATAAATAAATAAAGCAGAAAAGATTTTTACTGTCATAGAGCTTATATTCTAGTGAGGAAGGACAGTTAACTAAATAGGTAAATGAACTTTAATAAATACATGACCAACTATCAATAAATAATAAATGCCATGAACAAAAAAATAAAGCAGGTTAATTAAATAATTGTGAATGGCTATATATATTCAAACATTTTGATATTGATCAAAATGTTAAAATCTTGTTTCAGATGGCAGTGACATCCATATGTTGGTTTTGAGAAAAAGTTACTGGTATATATGGTTATGGAGCAATTTCTTAACACCTCTGATCTATCTGAAATTAAATTGAGCAAAGCAAATGTATCATTTTTTTGTAAATTTTATTTAGTTGTAGATGGACACAATATCTTTATTTATTTATATATTTTATGTGGTGCTGAGGATCAAATCCAGTGCCCAGATGTATTTTTTAAAATATTTTTTTTAGTTGCAGATGGACACAGCTTTATTTTATTTGTTTGGTTTTTTTATGCAGTGCTGGGTATTGAACCTAGTGTCTCACACATGCTAGGCAAGTGTTCTACCATTGAGCCACAACCCCAACCCCCAAATGTCTTTTTTTTTCTTTACTTGTAGATGGACACAATACTTTTATTTTACTTATTTATATGTGGTGCTGAGGATCAAACCCAGTGCCTCACACATACTAGGCAAGTGCTCTACCACTGAGCTACAACCCCAGTCCAGCAAATGTATCTTTACTAATCTTTATGTTGGAGCAAAACAGATCAATCTTTTATTCTCGTGTGCAGCTAAAAATATATTAGTTACAGATCATTAAGCTTAACATTAAGCAGTCAATTAACTATTTATAAAATGTAGATATAGTTTCATAATGAGCTAACCATTCTGTATTAATTCGGTTTTTAAAATGCAACTGAGCTCTCTTGATTTTAGTCATTCCATATGTCTGTATAAATAATATCAAATATATAATAATATTTGGTATATACAATGTGTCACTGATGGACAATCATAAACACAAAGATGTAGAATTTTTCTTTAAAGAATTTGTAGTCTGATAGAGTGATAGCCAAGCAAACTACCAATTTAAAAAAATAAAAAGTTTTAAAATTATGACAATGAGAATGGTGATGTTGATAATAGCAGTGCCTTATACTGAATAGTTATCAAATGAGAACTAACATTGCTACCTGTTTAGTACCCAATCATGCAAAATTCTTTTTTTAGTACTTAAGATAAAGAGAAATTGAATACATTGGAGTAATGTTCAAAGGTTGGAAATTAAACTCATATTTAAACACTTAATCTGTTTAGCCAGAGAAAGAGAAAACTGGGCATGACTTGAATACATGAATGATTATATGATCACAGAGGACTAGGCAGGAGGAATTGGAGTTTTATTGATACAGGAAAGATTTGGCAGTTTCACAACAATATTGCCACAAACATAGTGGTTTAAGCAACAAATCTTTATCCTCTTATAGGTTTTGTAGGTCAGGAACCTATGTGGATGAACCATCTACTCAGCCTTAGACAGGCTGGATTCTCATCTGGAGAAGAATTTTTATTTCTTCTTTCCCATGGATCTTTGTAGTATTCAATTCTTTCTGGTTTGGGTAGCTTTAGTTTTTGGCTTGTTTGCCAGAGGCAACCTGCAGTTTTTTGCCAATGGTTCACCAATATGGTTGGTTGCTTTCACCAAGCCAGCAAGGGGGAGACACTAGACTGGTGCTACAGTATTATTTAACATAATTATGTAACATACATTAATTTAATTTTTCCTAACTATCTTTTTCAATAAGAAAGGTTAGAAGGATTTTCAGATCAAATATGAGAATATGGAAGCTCTGAGTATGCAGGCAACCTCTATCTGCTCAAGTTTTTCAAATGAAGATGAATATACACAAGGCAGTGTTTGCAAATGCCATGGAACTAAAAGGTTTCTTTGTACTGAAGGATGTGTCATAATAGACACCAAATGTGGTTTAAAGCAAATTGTGTTGGAATCTTTCAACTCTTGTTTTAATGCTCCTTATCTCTAGACTTTGGAAAAGGAATACTTTGTGTACTCTGTTAGCATAAATAGTTACTGCAAAATTATGTAGAACAACTAATTCATAGTCATTTCAATTGTGATTTCTAAAATAATAGAATTGGTTTTAATTAAGATAGTTTAATAAAAGCATTTTACTTTAAAATAAATGCTCAGAAATAACTTAGGAGTAGATTTTTGCTGTATCATTGTTTTTTTTTTTTTTACCAGAACTACTTTAGTTTGTTTCTAAAGTTTATGCCTTAGTTGCTTTTAAAATAAGTGATTCTTTAGAGTATGTATTTTAAGTTTAAAAGTATTATGATATAATTACTCACTGGAATAATAAGAAATGATTATTTGAAAAATGTTTTATTATTAATTCATTTACAGATTTATTTTTATGAGTATTTGAATGTTATTCTTAAATTTTTAAAGATACTACTGCATTTCTTCATTCCCTTTCTTAATTTTGAAAAATCATATAATACATTAGAAAATTTATGAGAAGTTTATCTAAATGAAAGATCTATAAATAAGTATGTTTAATTAGTGATTTTATCTGAATTGGTTAATTGTTCTTATTGTAGACCTCACAAGAAGTGGCAAACCTTGGTGGCAGAATGAAACATCATCTGCTTTTCCTTCTTTACTGCCAGCTAATGACACACATATTCACCACAGACAGAAAAGATCAGTGAGCATTGAGCGGTTTGTGGAAACATTAGTAGTGGCAGACAAAATGATGGTGGGCTACCATGGCCGCAAAGATATTGAACATTACATTTTGAGTGTGATGAATATTGTAAGTTTGAACTTTCTATATACTGTTTTACTTAGTAGTTTGTTGTACTTTGTACTAAGGTCATAGATTTTTACTAGGAAATAAATGATTATAAGAATTCATCTGTCTAAAATTGTAGAGAGATTTTTTGGTGCTTGAGATTCAATTCAGGGCCTCATGCATGCTAAGCATGTGCTCTATCACTGAGATACAGCCCAAGAATTGGCCTATTAATGTTCAAGTTCCATAGAAAATAAACTTAAAGATAATCTTATTGTTATTTTTTAGATGATATATTTTTAATGGGTTATTAAATCTTGTTTAAAATGTTTTCTATAACTTGAAATATCAGCTTACCCTTTAATTAGTGTGTTATAGTTCATCTCTAAGAAAAAATATTCCTTGAGGTAGACTTGTAAAATCTTTTACCAAGGCATCTTGAATTTTAAACAACATAGCATTAAAAATATCTTTTCATATATACAATGGGCATACTTTTTTTAATCAGATAGAATCAAACTATGATCCTATGATTTTTGTCTGACTTTGTGTCTTTTCTTATTTTCTGGAGGTCAGGTTGCCAAACTTTATCGTGATTCCAGCCTAGGAAACGTTGTGAACATTATAGTGGCCCGCTTAATTGTTCTCACAGAAGATCAGGTAAGAAAGAATTAGATTTTAAACCTGAACCTCTTAGGCTATGGAGTTATTTATTATTAAATAATATATTTCCTTATTTGTCCTCTTAAGAAGTCATACTTGATTATGATTTTTAGCTCTAAACATTTAATGTTTTAAGCAAATTTTAAATACCTCTTAAGTCTTGTTAAAACTATGTATATATGTGTGTGTGTGTATATACATACACACACACATATGTATATATGTGTATTAGCTATGTTTTAGTATAAGGATGAGCATTTGCATGGTATACTTTATAACAATGTTTTTTTTGGTTTTGTATGCTGATAGCCTCACATATGTTCACATTATAATTAAAGCTGTAACTGGAAAGAATGTTCAATAATAAACTAAATGAACTCTAGGTCAGATATTATAGAGATCAAAATTGGCATGAGATTATTCCTAGAAACCACTGCTTCTAATTATAGTCCCACTTTAGTCTTCAAAAGTTTTAACAACTGACCTTAGTAATTTGTTTGGAACATTTCTGGTATGCATGTTGTATTGCAGCCAAACTTGGAGATAAACCACCATGCAGACAAGTCCCTCGATAGCTTCTGTAAATGGCAGAAATCCATTCTCTCCCACCAAAGTGATGGAAACACCATTCCAGAAAATGGGATTGCCCACCACGATAATGCAGTTCTTATTACTAGGTATGGTTTATTGCAAGTATTTTTCCTTTGATTATTGTTTGTTTGATATTATAACTATATTTAGCTCTATCTGAAGCCTCATTCAGGTAATGAGGATAGAAAAAGCAAAATGGCTATTTATTTTTTACTACTGAGAAAGAATGTATTATTAATATGTTGACATTAAATGAACCAAATAAGAAACAAGAGGAGATTAAGGTTTGACCTAGAAATTTAATAAATAACTTTCCTTCTACTGATTAAGTCCTACTCATAATGTTTAATTAGAAGCACATATATGATTGATTAATTGAACAAAATACTTACTAAAAGCAACATTTAAAAGTATAAAAAAATGTCTATTTTAAACATAAAGCTGTGACTCTAGGTTATAAAATATATTAAATATTCTTACCTTCAAGTTGTGTTAGTTTATGTAAATTTATTAAAGGGGAGGAGAATAATGGTAGTTATACAATTTACTTATATGATTATCTATTTAAATTTTAATTAAGGTATATAAAGAAGATTTATTATATTATGTGTTAAACAGCTTTGCTCTCAAGCAAAATTATTAACTGGACAATAACTGAAGGAATTCATATATTGATTTCTAGTTTTAAAAAACTACATTCAAATGTTTTCTTATTCTTAAAGCAACAACTCTGTGAATTAGATAATATTATCTTCCTTATGTTAGAAAAGAGAAAACATTCAAAATAGTTAAGCATGTTTCTCAAGGTCACTCAGCTAAGTGAAAGAGGACTCAACTCTGATGATCTTGTCTTCCTTGACTATCCTATCTTAGTTTATTTGTTTACTTAAGTTTTAGAGAAACTGTTTATGTTGCCCAGGCTGGTCTCAAACTTCTGGGTGGAAGCCTCATCTTCCTGAGTAGCTGTAACTTCAGATGTGCATCACCATGACAGGCTTTGTTTTAGTTTTTTTATATTCTAATTGTGGTTGGTCAGAAACGTTATGCTTAAATAATTTTAAGTCTATCTTTTGACCTTTTTCCAGTATTTAAAAATAAAAGACAAAATAAAGTAACAGTAGCAAGCAAGCAAAGTGAAAACACTATTCTGCCTTGGCTGAGTGAAATAGCTTTTGTTACTTTAATTATTTCTCATAATTTTGCAAGGCAGTATTTACCAGATGCATTATCTGTGGTGTGCTCATTGACTCTATGTTAAGTTCTATGGATGGAGTATAAAGTACATGGGATCAGAATCTTAAACTGAGTAATATAAGTTACTTCAGTGTAATTTTTAGAATAAATTCTCTGTTTAATGAACTGCAGAATTTAAGTTTCTGAATCTGTTTGTTTGTTTCATTGACTTCCTCTACTTGGCATTATAAACCAGAAAATTTTGTTTATGACAAGTTTGCTGAAAAAAACAACATTATATGGTTTTATGTTCATATGTATTGACACATTAGTCTGATTAATTCTGCAGTTGCTGTGAGTCTTGTAGTCTGGAATGTTCCTAATATATACATAAGGAGTTAAAAATCTAGGACTTGTGCTAATGAAAAGCTTTGTGTTTAAAAAAAAAGTTAGATATGATTAGTGTTGATGAAATTACTAGAGGAAAACATCTAATATATATAGTTTACAAAATTTCACATGGCTTTTTTGTTTATATTGTAAAACACTTCTTCCCCCAAAATGAGACTTCACATTTTTATTTTGTATCTATATTGGATTTTTATCTTTTGCATCAAATGGCAGCAGTTATACCAAGGGTGCATATTTATAAGTATTCAAGTAGTGAGCTAGATCTGGGCAGTTAGCCACCCTTTCTTTGCACTGACAACATTCAGCTGTACACTTTGTTACTCTGAATTGGCCCAGATATTTTTCTAATTTTTTTACAGAGCTCTTCCTTGCTTCTGTAAGCTACTTTGAGTGCCTTTTTTGATGTTTGGGATTTTAACATAACATTTTCTCCTTAGTTTGTCTATAATGGTTAGACAAGTACTAGAAATGATGTTAGGATTAAATAGGACAGTTTAGAATTTGGATGTCGTATCATTTTAGATTGGCTAATGTAGTAGAGATAAGAAAAATGCCTCTTTTGTGACAATATAGAGTATTTAATTTAATTGTTACTAATGTCTCAAAGTAATTTTTAGCCTATTTAATAGTTTATAATAGGGCAACAGAGTGACTATTCGAAAGAGATGACTATCATCTTTGTTATTTAGATAGTTATTTTTCAGAGAATGGAAGGAAGTTATCAATGCTCAACTCTCCCTTATATATTTTTATTTGTAAAACTGAGTATGTTTAAATCATAGTGCTACTTTTAATAAAAATAATTCTGAGAATTCTATAGATGATTTTTATATTAATGTTGAAAACTGCTTCATATGACTCACTTATCAATATTCAGTGTTGTGACCCCTCCTTTTATAGTTATTATAGATAATAATTTATTTTTGCTCAAAATATCAGCTCACTAGGAAGGATAATATGTTATTATATAGGAAGTATAAAGGTTCATTAGGAATTCCAGGAGAAAACTGATAGTTTATCTCCCAAGGCCAAATTTTATCCCAAGGCCTTAAATGTTATCTCCCTTTAGCAAATGATATCTTATTATCTTTTTTTATTGATTTAAATTTGAAACTGTGCTCTGCACAGTTATCAGATAATTCTTACTAGACAGAAAGAAAATAAATTTATTTTTGCTTTTTTTCTATTATTAATAGTATTTAAGTAACATCAAAGAACATATTACAATTATTTGTGTATACATATACTTTTTTGTGCACATATATTTCATATGTCCACATACATATATGTCTATGTATATACATACATATACTATATGGATACACTATTTTACATATAGCTAACAGAGATTAATGATATAAAATATAGTGAAAAGTCTGTTTTTACCACCCAGATTTAGCAAATATGAACATTATGCAGCTTTGTGTCACTTCCTAAAATGGTATTCAGTTACCTCTCTGTGGTGTAGTAACTGCCTCAAATCTTAGTTCTGAATACCAGGGTTAGTGCTATAATATAACTGTGGAAATATGGCAATGCTTCCATATATTGTTATATTCCACAAATTACATTATATTTTAAATAAACATGAATAGTAGAATAATGAAACTGGTCTTTCATTTTTTTGTTGATTTTTAATGTAAGATATCAGTATTAATAACTTGTATTGTTTGCTTCCATAGAATAGATTTATTTAATGACTTAACAGTTGATAGTATTTACCTAAATCAGCTTGATGTTTGGTAACTCTTTTTTAAACAATGCAATATAACAATATATAACTACTGGGCTGGGGATGTGGCTCAAGCGGTAGTGCGCTCTCCTGGCATGCGTGCGGCCTGAGTTCGATCCTCAGCACCACATACAAACAAAGATGTTGTGTCCGCCGAAAACTAAAAAATAAATATTAAAAAAATTCTCTCTCTCTCTCTCTCTTTAAAAAAAAAATATATAACTAGATCAAGAAATAATAATACTTTGTACTTCAAACTCTAGAAACATAATTTAAGAGGGCAAAGTAGGACAGTATTTATACAGTTAAGAAGTTACTTGTTTCAAAACTTTCAAGTTATGTTTATTAATATTTGTATTTTGTTGCTTTTATAAATTATTTTTAATTGACAAAAATGTGTATGTTTATGGTGTAGGGCATGGTATTTTGACACATACATACATTGTGAAATGTCTAAATCAAACATTAGATTGGCATGCATTATCTCACATACTTCATTAAGCTTTGTACTGACAAGCTGCAAACTAACAGATGCTTAGGAATAAATACTGGCAATTTGACATATTATTTAAGTTATTTTTATTTCCCTATAAAGTCAGGAAATAAGCTTAAAATCACCATAAGTTTAAAGTCAAGCCAATTTCTAAATTTATTTTGTTCAAGAAATCCATACACAGTCTGAAATTCATTAGGGATTTAGAGACAGTTTGTACTAGTATTTATGATTAGTAATTCATGTGAACAGACTAGTGCATACATTTCTTAGCGTTCTGTTCTATGAAGTATGAGAAACATTATTTTTCCATTTTTAAGATATTAATACATAGTCATTTATATTCTTAGGGTAAGAATTGGAGCCTCAATCCTGTTTTTGGGCAAAAACTTTATTGAAATCTAATTCATAGACCACATGTTTACCCATTTAAAGTACAATTCACTGTTTTTTAGTATATTCACAAGGTTCTGGAACCACCACTATAATTAATTTTAGAATGTTCTCTCTGTCCTAAAGGTTTCCCTTTATTCCTAGCCCTTCCTTTGCTCCAGTGTAGGCTACTTCTGATCTAACTTTCCGTCTGTATAGTTTTGTCTGTTCTGGACCTTTCATATAAACAGAATTATATAATATATGAATATTTTTGTGTGATTTACTTCTTTTACTTAGCAAAATGTTTTAAAGGTTCATCAGTGTTCTGGAATGTATTGCTTTTCTCTTTTTAATTTAATTTAATTTAATTTTCTCTTTTTAATTTCTCTTTTTAATTTTCATTTTTGCAGTGCTGGGAATTGAACCCAGGCCTTCATACATGCTAGGCAGGAGCTCTACCCCTGAACTACATCCTTAGCCCTGCTTTCCTCTTACTAGCCTAAATTTTCAAAAACTCAAGGTACCTAACTTTTAAGAATGCCTTTGTTTATAGGCTTTTTCAGTTATTATACTTGAATGATCTTTCATTAGTGAAATCACAGGACTTTTAAATATATCTTAAAATCTGATGCAAAAATTGCACACAAAGTCAAAATAATTTGGTCTTTAATTAAAGTGGGCATATTTATCCTCTTAAGGGGTCATGACTGTTTACTTGGGTATTGCTGGATTATAAAGGAATTAGAATTTTCAATGTCAGTCAACCAATGTTTTTAGATAGGCATTTAAAAATAGCTATAAATATGGTTTCTTGGCATGTAATGATTTGATTTAAACAAGTTTTCTTAGTTTTTAAAGATAGTGTCTATTGGAATTATGTATTGGCTTCATAATTATATATG